TTATGGCATTTTGTGTCTACAAGCCCATTCGTCGTCGGTGACAGCCAAGAAAGTCCTGCTGCAGGTTCCCGGAACAGGATAAGTTCTGCTGGACTCAGACCACCAGAGAAGTTGGAAACCGAACTTTCCTTCCAGGAAATGACCTTTAATCTCTGGACAGGTGGTAAACACTGAATGATTTAGAAAAAGCATCTGGCAATGATTTTTTTTTTTTTTTTCCCTAACATCAATTATTGGCTGTTGAGTGTGCTTCTCAGTGTCTTTTTGGTTTGGCTTGTTAAAAGTAAAATCTGAAGCTCCAGGATTCAGTAGAGCTGTGCTCACAAGAAAGCAAGCACAGTGGCCCTGTGAGCATCTCTAAGAGCTCTGGGGAGGACTGATGACCATGCTTGAGACCCTGATGAGAGGAGGACCTAACCGTAGGTGCTCTCTCAAGCCACTCTGTCACCATGGTTAAGAATCACACCTGAGGGCTGGTGAGATGGCTCAGTGGGTGAAGGTGCTTGTTGCTAAGCCTGATAACCTGAGTTTGATTCCTGGAATGCACATGGTAAGAGGAGAGAACTGAATCTAACAGGTTGTTCTCTGACCTCCACATGTGCACTATGGCACGTGGACACCCCCTCACACACATATACAAGTAAATGTTTGTTTGTTTGTTTTTTAAAGCCACTTTTTAAAAAAAATCACTGTACTGAGTTGATCTAGAATACCCTGATTGCAAAGCCAGTGTCCACTGTGCAGGGCTTAGGCCATCACTTCCCACCCGCATCAGGCTGTGCACTTGAATGTACCGTCAAGTCAGGGTTGTATCCTAGTCCTGCAATCATGTGTCCCCTTGACCTGGAAGGCTCTGGATTGGACTAGAAATACTACTAGTTGGCCTATCAATAAAAGAGCTCCATCTGACTCAAACATACTAATGACCCTTCTCACCTGTGTAGCTTTTCAGATTGGGAATGTAAGAACTCAGCAGGAACCCCTTTTCAGCCCTAGGTGTAGAGGGCTCAACTAAGCATATGTCTACTGTGCAGGCTGCATGTGTTTACAAGGTCTAATCTCAACTGTTAAAGGCTGCTGTTATTTGCACTGCTGGGGACCTGGATGTTTCCCCCATTGATACTTTCGTACTTAAAAAGTGGTTGTTAGAGTATTTATTTTAAAGGTGCTAGGTTTAATTGTTATAAAATTTCAGCGTTTAATCTTGTGTTCCACTCAGGCACAGCATTGAATTTTGTTATTTTAAATTTTAACAACCCACACTTAATGTGAAATAACTGAAGGATACTGTACCTGTTAGGATTTTGTCTGCAACTGTATAACACTGAGCCACTGAACTGCTCACTGTTCTGTGCTTTTTAAGATAAATGACAATTAAAGCTGAAGCAGAATCTATGTGCTGTTTACTCTTCGTTGTATTGAGTATGTAAAGTGCAGGGTGATGGCTGTGTAAGAATGTGCCCCATTTTCTTTTAAGGAAGCACTGTGAAACAATTTAAACTCGTATGTGAAGTAACAGTACGACTGTTAAGCAAGATAATTGATTTTATCTGAAAACTGAGCCAGAATCAAACTCTCAGACAACCAGATCAGAAGGCCTTACTTTAAGTTCTTAAAATTGCCATTCTTTTTTTACTTTTATTATGTGTGTATTGCCTGTATGTTGGTAAGTGCACCCGTGTTGTGCAGTGCCCACAGAGGACAGAAGAGGCTGTTGGATCCCCTGGAACTGGAGTTATGGACAGTTGTTAGCTGCCATGTGGGTGCTGGGCTTTGAATCCAGGTCTTCTGCAGGAACAACCAGTGTTCTTAAC